GGTGGACTTCAACTCCCAGAATTCCCCAGCCAGCAAGTTGCTGAGGTTGAGGAACCCTGATTTAGGAGACTCAATAACTGTCCCCATTTGACCCTTCAGAGATCAGCAGGTGACTTTCAGACAGTCACACCCTGTCAATCTTCCTCACAGGTTTGCTGTGGGAGTAAAATGAAGTGAGAGCTCAGATCCCATGTATACCGCTTTGAACTGCCAGAAGAATGGTGGGAAATAAATGCAATAAATAAATAAGCCATTCCTTTCCATTAATTCAGTAACTTGTACATAGGTGAATGTTGGATCAGAAATCTTTCCAGTGGAGCTAATGACAGTAGTGTTGCACTGATCTATAACTGTGGGTCATTCTGGTGAGATAAAGAAAAAATTGTTTCCCTGCATCCTGCTCCTCTAAAATTCCAGTGCTACTCATTTTTATTGCATGTTGGTTAACTGGAATAACCTTTGTTTAAGCACTTTTTGATTGTAAAAGATATGCTCCCTCTGCTTATTTTTTGAGGGGAGTTGTAAAAGAGGGGGATTATTCTCCCAAATACGTTTGAGATCATGCTACTACCTGCTGCACCTCCTTGAGGTTAAGGAGAAGGGTCATGGAGGCCAAGCAGCAATGGAAGTGCTCCTTGGCAATTCAGCGTGATACATGCAGGATAAATTGCAGAAACAGTAATTTCTTGTCTCCATCATTTCTGTGGTATTTGAACCAAGGTCTGATATTTATAAACTAGAGTTCCAGAAAGCATAAGTTTCTAAGGTTTATGGTATATATTTTTAAGGACATTCCTGTACCTTAAAAAGACTGTTTCAAGGACTTTACCGTAATAGTTTTCAGTTGTTTAAATTGTATGGTGATGGTAGAGTTGCTAAAATAATACTACACTTGTTATTCCTTTTCATAGGCCTATAAACTCCCAATTTAGGGAGGTTTTATGTGGCATGATTATCATCATCATTACCTTGGCATTGCTCCATTTCTAGCTGATTATGCTAGTGTAGCACTCTAACCCATAGTTAACTGAACCATGGCTTACTCAACCCAGAGTCTGGGGTTTTCACATCCTATTGAAGCAGAAATCAACCACACTGACTGGATCCATGCACCACTCGCAGTTAAAATTTAATTCATGAGAGGAAGTCTACATATTTGGAGGGCACTTTTGGGAAAAGGTGGGCTAGTTCAGGGCTCAGTGTGTTGTGTGATCACAGGCATTATGAGCCACATGAGTGGCCTCTGTGGCATAAAATAGGTACTTGAGTCTGGATTGAGCACTGTCTGTCCAATCTTACTTATGCTTATTCAGAAGTTAATTCCTGTTGTCTGGGTTCACACATCATGCTAAGCCACATTGTGGTTTGCTTGATTTGGGTTTAGTGTGTTGTGTGAACCTATCGTTGTTTATTCAGTAAACTGTTGTTTATGCAATGTGTGAACCCTGGCCTTAAATTAAATGAAATAACCCAATATTTGTGCAGGTGTGTAGCATATAAGAAGGTATATTTTATTATGCATACAGTTTGGAAGCTATGTACATACACCTCTTTTTACACATCAGTTTCTTTTATTAGATTAAAGTTTCTTAAAGTAATAAATAGATTTACAAGGTCAGATGCTTTTAAATTTTAAATTTCAGTGCTTGCTGACACTTTAACTATTACAACCATCTTGTTGACATTTTCACCATTTTTTAAAATGATTGCTGACAAACCTTTAAAAGAAAGTAGCTTAATTAAAAAAAATATGAATTTGCAGCATATTAAGGTGTAGTAGGAAAAGAAAATTGCCTTTGTCAAGCTTATTCCTTCCAGATGTTGGCCCTTTGTTAGTTGTCAACACTCATGGTCTTGAACAGGTTCTTTTTCTAATTGAAGCTGTGTTAATCTGTTGCAGTAAAAACACCAAAAGATCTTTAAAGAGAAGAGATACATTGATTATGACATAAGCTTTGGGGGATATGGACTAGTGCTGCAAGATGCATTGGTGCATGAATATTATGTATGTTACAGAAAGGTTTGGTGTGGAATCCTTGCTTGTTTTGGTGGGATTGGAGTCTGTCTTGTGTTAAGCTATTAGAGGAAGTTTTTGTTCTTTAGGGACTGCTCCTTTTAAAAACCATGGCAATGTCTTCTGGGGATGTTCAGGAGAGGTGTCAAGAGAGAAATTAACAACATGCTTGTTAAATCTAGTATTTAATTTTAAATTGTTGCTGGTTATTCCTATCCTGCTGCTTTGAACTTGGTGATGGTAGAGTTGCTAACTTGGTGGACAACTTCTAAACGTTGTGCTAGGGTAATCTTACAAATACTTTATAGTTAGAGCAAAAAAAATGCTTTGCTATTTGATTAAATATATCTAAATTAAAAGAGAAATGGCTTGGTTTAATATTCAAT